AATACGTGTCCACTTTGGTCAAACGTCGACAAAAGGGCCCATCTTTCTTCGCCACACTCTCTAGTGAACGTGTCTTCATTCATCAAATACCTTAGGATGAAACTTTTCCAAAAAACACATCCACAATGCATACACACCATTTATACTTATTTTTACTTTCATCTTAAGAAAAGATGGAAAAGAAAAATGCACGGTTACTTTACTTCTTGGGGAATAGAAAATCAGTTCAGGTCGTGCCTGTTTATGATTATTGCATCGTAGGCACTAACAATCTCAACTCACTACGAAAATCGGGAATCCTTTTTCAAGCATTGTCTGTAGTCTATCTGTAACATGTCATCAAGGGTGCTAAGCCTCAATCACTGGTGCGGCTTGCATCTCTGTGGCGCCTTTTTCCAACGTTCCACACTCCAGAGGTGCATCACGGACACTAGGCAAGGGTCCGCTATGGTCAAACGCAGTTACAAAAAGCCCATCTTTCTTCGCCACACAATCTTTCACATCTTTAATGTACGTGTCTTGCCCCATCGAATACCTTAGGAAGAAACTTTTACAAAAAACACATCCAAAATGCACACATGCCATTTATACTTATTTTTACTCTCACCTTTACAAATGATGAAAAGAAAAATGCACGCTTACTTTAATTGTGGGGAAAAAGAAAAACATAGGCAATAACAATCTCAACTCACTACGAATATCGGGAATCCTTGTCTTAGCAGTGTCTGTAGTCTATCTGTAGCATGTCATCAAGGGTCCTAAGCCTCAGTCACTTGTGTGGCTTGTATTTCTGCTCTGCCTCTCTCCAATATTCCATACTCCACCGACAATAGGCTAGTTCCCCTACACTCCATTTGAGTTGAGCAATACGTGTCCACTTTGGTCAAACGTCGACAAAAGGGCCCATCTTTCTTCGCCACACTCTCTAGTGAACGTGTCTTCATTCATCAAATACCTTAGGATGAAATTTTAAAAAAAACACATCCACAATGCATACACACCATATATACTTATTTTTACTTTCATCTTAAGAAAAGATGGAAAAGAAAAATGCACGGTTACTTTACTTCTTGGGGAATAGAAAATCAGTTCAGGTCGTGCCTGTTTATGATTATTGCATCGTAGGCACTAACAATCTCAACTCACTACGAAAATCGGGAATCCTTTTTCAAGCATTGTCTGTAGTCTATCTGTAACATGTCATCAAGGGTGCTAAGCCTCAATCACTGGTGCGGCTTGCATCTCTGTGGCGCCTTTTTCCAACGTTCCACACTCCAGAGGTGCATCACGGACACTAGGCAAGGGTCCGCTATGGTCAAACGCAGTTACAAAAAGCCCATCTTTCTTCGCCACACAATCTTTCACATCTTTAATGTACGTGTCTTGCCCCATCGAATACCTTAGGAAGAAACTTTTACAAAAAACACATCCAAAATGCACACATGCCATTTATACTTATTTTTACTCTCACCTTTACAAATGATGAAAAGAAAAATGCACGCTTACTTTAATTGTGGGGAAAAAGAAAAACATAGGCAATAACAATCTCAACTCACTACGAATATCGGGAATCCTTGTCTTAGCAGTGTCTGTAGTCTATCTGTAGCATGTCATCAAGGGTCCTAAGCCTCAGTCACTTGTGTGGCTTGTATTTCTGCTCTGCCTCTCTCCAATATTCCATACTCCACCGACAATAGGCTAGTTCCCCTACACTCCATTTGAGTTGAGCAATACGTGTCCACTTTGGTCAAACGTCGACAAAAGGGCCCATCTTTCTTCGCCACACTCTCTAGTGAACGTGTCTTCATTCATCAAATACCTTAGGATGAAACTTTTACAAAAAACACATCCACAATGCATACACACCATTTATACTTATTTTTACTTTCATCTTAAGAAAAGATGGAAAAGAAAAATGCACGGTTACTTTACTTCTCGGGGAATAGAAAATCAGTTCAGGTCGTGCCTGTTTATGATTATTGCATCGTAGGCACTAACAATCTCAACTCACTACGAAAATCGGGAATCCTTTTTCAAGCATTGTCTGTAGTCTATCTGTAACATGTCATCAAGGGTGCTAAGCCTCAATCACTGGTGCGGCTTGCATCTCTGTGGCGCCTTTTTCCAACGTTCCACACTCCAGAGGTGCATCACGGACACTAGGCAAGGGTCCGCTATGGTCAAACGCAGTTACAAAAAGCCCATCTTTCTTCGCCACACAATCTTTCACATCTTTAATGTACGTGTCTTCCCCCATCGAATACCTTAGGAAGAAACTTTTACAAAAAACACATCCAAAATGCACACACGCCATTTATTCTTATTTTTACTCTCATCTTTACAAATGATGCAAAACAAAAATGCACGCTTACTTTAACTTTAATTGTGGGGAAAAAGAAAAACATAGGCAATAACAATCTCAACTCACTACGAAAATCGGGAATCCTTGTCTTAGCAGTGTCTGTAGTCTATCTGTAGCATGTCATCAAGGGTCCTAAGCCTCAGTCACTTGTGTGGCTTGTATTTCTGCTCTGCCTCTCTCCAATATTCCATACTCCACCGACAATAGGCTAGTTCCCCTACACTCCATTTGAGTTGAGCAATACGTGTCCACTTTGGTCAAACGTCGACAAAAGGGCCCATCTTTCTTCGCCACACTCTCTAGTGAACGTGTCTTCATTCATCAAATACCTTAGGATGAAACTTTTCCAAAAAACACATCCACAATGCATACACACCATTTATACTTATTTTTACTTTCATCTTAAGAAAAGATGGAAAAGAAAAATGCACGGTTACTTTACTTCTCGGGGAATAGAAAATCAGTTCAGGTCGTGCCTGTTTATGATTATTGCATCGTAGGCACTAACAATCTCAACTCACTACGAAAATCGGGAATCCTTTTTCAAGCATTGTCTGTAGTCTATCTGTAACATGTCATCAAGGGTGCTAAGCCTCAATCACTGGTGCGGCTTGCATCTCTGTGGCGCCTTTTTCCAACGTTCCACACTCCAGAGGTGCATCACGGACACTAGGCAAGGGTCCGCTATGGTCAAACGCAGTTACAAAAAGCCCATCTTTCTTCGCCACACAATCTTTCACATCTTTAATGTACGTGTCTTGCCCCATCGAATACCTTAGGAAGAAACTTTTACAAAAAACACATCCAAAATGCACACACGCCATTTATTCTTATTTTTACTCTCATCTTTACAAATGATGCAAAACAAAAATGCACGCTTACTTTAACTTTAATTGTGGGGAAAAAGAAAAACATAGGCAATAACAATCTCAACTCACTACGAAAATCGGGAATCCTTGTCTTAGCAGTGTCTGTAGTCTATCTGTAGCATGTCATCAAGGGTCCTAAGCCTCAATCACTTATGTGGCTTGTATTTCTGCTCTGCCTCTCTCCAATATTCCATACTCCACCGACAATAGGCTAGTTCCCCTACACTCCATTTGAGTTGAGCAATACGTGTCCACTTTGGTCAAACGTCGACAAAAGGGCCCATCTTTCTTCGCCACACTCTCTAGTGAACGTGTCTTCATTCATCAAATACCTTAGGATGAAACTTTTACAAAAAACACATCCACAATGCATACACACCATTTATACTTATTTTTACTTTCATCTTAAGAAAAGATGGAAAAGAAAAATGCACGGTTACTTTACTTCTCGGGGAATAGAAAATCAGTTCAGGTCGTGCCTGTTTATGATTATTGCATCGTAGGCACTAACAATCTCAACTCACTACGAAAATCGGGAATCCTTTTTCAAGCATTGTCTGTAGTCTATCTGTAACATGTCATCAAGGGTGCTAAGCCTCAATCACTGGTGCGGCTTGCATCTCTGTGGCGCCTTTTTCCAACGTTCCACACTCCAGAGGTGCATCACGGACACTAGGCAAGGGTCCGCTATGGTCAAACGCAGTTACAAAAAGCCCATCTTTCTTCGCCACACAATCTTTCACATCTTTAATGTACGTGTCTTCCCCCATCGAATACCTTAGGAAGAAACTTTTACAAAAAACACATCCAAAATGCACACACGCCATTTATACTTATTTTTACTCTCATCTTTACAAATGATGAAAAACAAAAATGCACGCTTACTTTAACTTTAATTGTGGGGAAAAAGAAAAACATAGGCAATAACAATCTCAACTCACTACGAAAATCGGGAATCCTTGTCTTAGCAGTGTCTGTAGTCTATCTGTAGCATGTCATCAAGGGTCCTAAGCCTCAGTCACTTGTGGCTTGTATTTCTGCTCTGCCTCTCTCCAATATTCCATACTCCACCGACAATAGGCTAGTTCCCCTACACTCCATTTGAGTTGAGCAATACGTGTCCACTTTGGTCAAACGTCGACAAAAGGGCCCATCTTTCTTCGCCACACTCTCTAGTGAACGTGTCTTCATTCATCAAATACCTTAGGATGAAACTTTTCCAAAAAACACATCCCCAATGCATACACACCATTTATACTTATTTTTACTTTCATCTTAAGAAAAGATGGAAAAGAAAAATGCACGGTTACTTTACTTCTCGGGGAATAGAAAATCAGTTCAGGTCGTGCCTGTTTATGATTATTGCATCGTAGGCACTAACAATCTCAACTCACTACGAAAATCGGGAATCCTTTTTCAAGCATTGTCTGTAGTCTATCTGTAACATGTCATCAAGGGTGCTAAGCCTCAATCACTGGTGCGGCTTGCATCTCTGTGGCGCCTTTTTCCAACGTTCCACACTCCAGAGGTGCATCACGGACACTAGGCAAGGGTCCGCTATGGTCAAACGCAGTTACAAAAAGCCCATCTTTCTTCGCCACACAATCTTTCACATCTTTAATGTACGTGTCTTCCCCCATCGAATACCTTAGGAAGAAACTTTTACAAAAAACACATCCAAAATGCACACACGCCATTTATTCTTATTTTTACTCTCATCTTTACAAATGATGAAAAACAAAAATGCACGCTTACTTTAACTTTAATTGTGGGGAAAAAGAAAAACATAGGCAATAACAATCTCAACTCACTACGAAAATCGGGAATCCTTGTCTTAGCAGTGTCTGTAGTCTATCTGTAGCATGTCATCAAGGGTCCTAAGCCTCAATCACTTATGTGGCTTGTATTTCTGCTCTGCCTCTCTCCAATATTCCATACTCCACCGACAATAGGCTAGTTCCCCTACACTCCATTTGAGTTGAGCAATACGTGTCCACTTTGGTCAAACGTCGACAAAAGGGCCCATCTTTCTTCGCCACACTCTCTAGTGAACGTGTCTTCATTCATCAAATACCTTAGGATGAAACTTTTACAAAAAACACATCCACAATGGATACACACTATTTATATTATTTTTACTTTCATCTTAACAAAAGATGGAAAAGATAAATGCACGGTTACTTTACTTCTCGGGGAATAGAAAATCAGTTCAGGTCGTGCCTGTTTATGATTATTGCATCGTAGGCACTAACAATCTCAACTCACTACGAAAATCGGGAATCCTTTTTCAAGCATTGTCTGTAGTCTATCTGTAACATGTCATCAAGGGTGCTAAGCCTCAATCACTGGTGCGGCTTGCATCTCTGTGGCGCCTTTTTCCAACGTTCCACACTCCAGAGGTGCATCACGGACACTAGGCAAGGGTCCGCTATGGTCAAACGCAGTTACAAAAAGCCCATCTTTCTTCGCCACACAATCTTTCACATCTTTAATGTACGTGTCTTCCCCCATCGAATACCTTAGGAAGAAACTTTTACAAAAAACACATCCAAAATGCACACACGCCATTTATTCTTATTTTTACTCTCATCTTTACAAATGATGCAAAACAAAAATGCACGCTTACTTTAACTTTAATTGTGGGGAAAAAGAAAAACATAGGCAATAACAATCTCAACTCACTACGAAAATCGGGAATCCTTGTCTTAGCAGTGTCTGTAGTCTATCTGTAGCATGTCATCAAGGGTCCTAAGCCTCAGTCACTTGTGTGGCTTGTATTTCTGTTGCGCCTCTCCAATATTCCATACTCCACCGACAATAGGCTAGTTCCCCTACACTCCATTTGAGTTGAGCAATACGGGTCCAATTTGGTCAAACGTCGATAAAAAAAAAGCCCATCTTTCTTCACCACACACTTCATCTTTCTATATCTCTAGTGAACGTGTCTTCATTCATCAAATACCTTAGGATGAAACTTTTACAAAAAACACATCCACAATGCATACACACCATTTATACTTATTTTTACTTTCATCAAAACAAATGATGGAAAAGAAAAATGCACGGTTACTTTACTTCTTGGGGAATAGAAAATCAGTTCAGGTCGTGCCTGTCTATGATTATTGCATCATAGGCACTAACAATCTCAACTTACTGCGAAAATCGGGAATCCCTTTTCAAGCAGTGTCTGTAGTCTATCTGTTACATGTCATCAAGGGTGCTAAGCCTCAATCACTGGTGCGGCTTGCATCTCTGTGGCACCTTTTTCCAACGTTCCACACTCCAGAGGTGCATCACGGACACTTAGGCAAGGGTCCACTTTGGTCAAACGCAGTTACAAAAAGCCCATCTTTCTTCGCCACACAATCTTTCACATTTTTAAAGTACGTGTTTTCCCCCATCGAATACCTTAGGAAGAAACTTTTACAAAAAACACATCCACAATGCACACACACCATTTATTCTTAATTTTTACTGTAATCTTAACAAATGATGGAAAACAAAAATGCACGCTTACATTAATTCTTGGGAAATAGAAAATCAGTTCAGGTCGTGCATGTTTATTATTGGATCATACAGAAAAACAATCTTTGCTCACTACAAAATTTCAGATTCCCGTCGCAGCAGTTTCTGTAGTCTATCTGTAACATGTCATCAAGAGTCCTAAGTCAGGTCACTGATGCGGCTTGCATTTTTTATGTGCCTCTGTCCAATGTTCCACACTCCAAAGGTTGCAGCTTGTCTCTCTTTGCCACTGAGCACCTATCCATCCCTTCACTTATACTTACACTCCAAAGATGCACCAGGGGCATTTGGCTGGGTCCATTACTCTCCCTTTGAATTAGAGCAGTATTTTGCTGTACACTTTAGTGACTTCAGTCAACTGCAGGTTACAAAAAAACGGACTTTGTCCTCTCCGATTTTTTACGCCACAACTCCAGGGTAGGCCATCTTTCATCAAATACCATACGACGAACTGCTTCAAAAAGAATACATCTGCTATGCATGGATAGTATTTTTCCTGACTTTGTACTTTACCCATGATGTAAAAGAACATAAATTATATTTTTTCTGAAGGGATTGGAAATCATTTTCACAAAATAAGATTCAGGCAAGGCTTGGAGACTGTTTAAAAAACGCATGGACTCAAATAAGTACGGTAACAATAACGAACAAATTTTTCTCTGCTAATTTACAAAATTTTAAATTTTTACCCACCAAAACACTGCATTTTTCAAACTTTTCTGCAGTCAAAACTTGCAACACATCCATTAACAACAGATGCCATGTGCTACCACAGGAATCAAATTTATCAGTATGGTAGCTGTACTGTTGGTCCATCACTGCAGTGTGTGAGAGAAATGAAGGCCGCCTGTTCCAAGTTTGATTTGATGTTCCACTACTTGACTTGAAGTTGAAGTAGGGGCCTACTGTATGGCAATACTTTAAATTGCTCCTGAAACCTCGAAATTATATCTTCAAAGTGCAATAAAAACAAAATAAAATCATACAATGAAGAGAATTTGGTATTGTTACCCCCTTTTTTTCTTTTTTTCGCCATTACGTTTTTTTTATTTTAATTCTTTTTTTTTTTGCGGGGGGATAGCTCTAACAACAATGTGGCTCAGTTCTTTTGACTTTTGGGGTAATTTGGGGCAAATCTTTTTTCCCCTGACTTTTTTCTTTTGGAGGTCCACAGGAATTATAACCTTTTTTTTTGGTGGCCAGGGCCTTCTTTTTTCCCTGTTTTTTTTTTTTTTTTCTTTCTCTTCCTGCGTGATCTTTTTTAATGCTCCATGTGTTTTCTTCTTTTTTTTTTTTTAAGAATCGTACCACCATAATCATCATCAGAATCAGAGAAAACTTTAACCCTAAATATATTTTAAAAAACGTCTTGTCTTGAGCATGAAGTTGAAAATCAACCACATGTGGAAAGCACGCCATGAAGTCTCCTTGATGCCCTTGATGGCGCGACACGATCCAGTAGTGTGTTGTTCTCTCATCTCAGTGGAGACAATTTGCAGCAAACAGCAAAAGGGTTAGTCCAATGTTTACCAGCTATCCTGTTTGTCCCCTCCATCTCAAATGATGACTTTCAACTTTCGCTTCTCCAAGACAAAAAAGCGTTTTCTGTCCCCACATTACCCCAGACCTATCAGACCACGCTTACCTTCTGGTGGTAAAGCTCCTTTTGGTGTGTAACCCTAACCAAAGTTACAAAAATACAGTAATTGTAAAGTAATATTAGTAATAGATCTAGTAACAGTCTAGCATAGTAGCATGCATAGCGCAAAATAGGCAAACGTAGAAATCTTTCTGTTTATTATAATTATATTAAGAATTTTTATGAGCATTACTCGTCATAAAATTCAGGACTAAAAAAATCCGTTCACTCTGCATGTGCTAGACTGTTGAAAGATGTTTTGAGTTGGCTGTGAAGGCCCAAAGTTAATTTTATGCTTGTACATTTTGTATCCATATATTGGGAAAATATTGTGAGTGATGTCCCCTTCTATGGATCATATTCATTACATGTCATTCTTCTACGGAAGCCAAGTCTGCAGCATCAAAGAATATTCCATTACAATAAAATTGCAAGTGGCCGCAGTCAATTTGCTTTAGTTTCATCAAGAAACTAGTTACTGCTCTAATTCTTCAGAAATTTTGTATTAAAATTTTTTTTTTGAGGAGGCTAGTTAAAACCGATAAAACGTATAGGCCTACTGTGTGGTGTGCATGACATACTGATCAAGGCACATTTTATTGATTTGTCAAGTTATTAGCAATCATGAATGAAGTTAAAGTAAAAAAGCTAGCCAGAAGTAAAATGTGTACCTGGTTAGCGCAGAAGCACCCAGTTTACAGCTTGTCACCACTCTGGATCTCCGATCAGAAGCAAAAGGAAAGCAGTCAAAAGAAATCCCTGTTGTTGTTTTCACCATGTGGTGGATGGATGGGTTGTAGTGTTTCCGTAACTTCTTGTTTGTAAGTTCACAAAGCTTCAATCCAAAAAAACAAAAAATGCTGTTGGATAGTACACTGTAGTTAGGTTGGTCATGGATAAACTAAACTCTCTGCAGCCAGCGTTGATGATGAGAAGCGAAAACAATACGTTTTAGGGATCGAAAACAATACGTTTTAGGGATTTTTTTTATTAATACCCCTGGTAATTCTACGGTACCATTTACAAAATACTTGTTTATAAACCAGCTGTTAATTACCAGTGAATAGTGCCAGATTTGACACATGAGATGAAAATTCTTAGTAGTAGTAGTAGGCCTACAAGGTTAGTTTTTTTGTGTTTTTTTGGTCTGAAGAACTATAATAATAATAATAATTGTATTTATATATATATATATTAATATATATAGCGCATTATATCCATGCTCAAGAGCATGCTCTATGTGCTTTACAACCATATATAAATACATAACTATCATAAAATCATCTAAGAATTTATTACTGAAACCATTTACTATTGTGTTTCTTAAATTTTTTATGTCAATGCCACTCTGTGATCAGATTAAGCAGCCTACTGACTAACTACAAGTAGCCTACTACCGTATAGGAAATCTAAAAATGTAATGTTTTAAGAGTTTAAATCAAATCACCTACTAACAAGATGGCCATGTGAAGAAAACCAAAGGACTTGGACCATCCAAGAAAAGGCCGATTCCTCTGTGAGAATGAAGTATGGTAATGTAGGCAATTGTAGGGATCCCCCAAGAAACCTGGAAAATGCAGGAGCTCCCGCTTGAGACATGTGCACGGTACAGTAGGCCTACTGTGTAGGCTACAACAAATGATAAAAAGGGTCATCACTACAGTTCCAGGAGCAAGGAGTCACAATTCAGAAGTTTCACAGGCTCCCACAATCAGCAACACAAAACTCGTCTGGTGACAGTTCCATGTAACAATGACTAGGCTATCAAATCTTAAAAAGAGTTTAAGTTTAACATTTTGCTGTCACATCTTGCCGATCGGCAAGATCGCAGAGCTTCCGCTCCCGTCACAAAACGCCGATCGGCGATGTTTACCACCCAGTTTCTTTCAATTTTGGATTCCCCCCAAAATGTTTGTGATGGCAAGGGTTTTTATTTTTACTATATTGAGCCTAGTGACGGCAAAGTGTTAAAAAGAGATTTTAAAATATTAACTTATACACCGTAAGTTTACTTTCAACTTCCCGTTTTAAAATTTAAATCCGAGTTTTCTGTCGTGCACGAAAAAGCAGCAAGTGCAGCTAATGTTCCTGAATAAATTTCAATTTCAACTGAAATAAGTCATAGAAGACTAAAGTTAACTAATGGTACCGGTATTTTCAATTACAGTGGAAACCATATTTACAGGCCCGGTAAAAACAAGGATTTTTTTAATTCCCGTTTTTTCATACTCTTGCTCTCTATTAAAAGTAATAAAAGTTATCGGCAATAACAGGGCCTCATCGGAGCCCAATCGGTGAGAGAGAGAGAGAGCAACGTCACTGCAAGCACACGCAGAGAGGGCTGTGGTGTGCTGAAGACTTCGATCTAGATCTAAGCCTAGCTGCACACAAGCGGCCTGCTGCATGGCCAAATCTAACAGTCCTGGTCATGCGCAGAGCTTGTTTCGTGGGTACTTGTGGCTGTGGAAACTACCCATGAATAAATACAGCTGGATTAGTCCACAAATGCTTACTTCCTTTGCATTCTGATTTAACTGGGGTCTGATATTATAACAGAACTTTTTCTCTGGCCCCTCTATCCCTGTTGTATCAGGTTTCCACTGTAGTAAAGAAAATTTTTTTTACTATAGAATACTGAGCACTTTTATCCACATTAGGACCACAGTAGTATTCAGAAATGCAGACAGCTGTGCATTTAGGATTTTTGGAAACCAATGTAACACTAATTACAGGTCTTACAACACGAAGCTCTTCAGTCTCTGATGGAAAACAACCAGGCTTTTGGAGATGACCAGAAACATAGCTTCCCAATCACCTGTAGAGGAAGAGTCTAGAGCTATATCAACCAGAATATACAGACACTGAAATAAGTCTTCCGTAATGATCTTGACAATTTTGAATTCCGTTTGAAAAAAGATCTTTAAGCTTCTTAAATGCTTTGACAAGTACAAAACTAAAATGTAGCTCTATCTTTCAAAGCTGGACATCAATAAAACATTACGATACAGCGTCTTGTGTCTGGTACTTCAGTAAAGTAAATGCTCTATGTCATAGCCAGTTGTCCATTACAGTTTGACACTAAAAAGAACTATTGTGGTAAAGACCTCCAACTAACTGGTTCCACCATTCCAATGATTGATAGCTTTCTCAATCTCTGTACTTTCGTTTAAATTCTTTAATATAATATATATATATATATTTTTTATACATTAAATGGGATTACAGTTAAGTACACGGAAAGATCCTTCTTGACCATGATCACACAGGTTTCCATTTGCCCACTGGCTGGTCCTCAGTCCACCACATCGTGCCAGCCAAGTGGCATGTACCACTGTGGTGTAAGGTTTTGCTATGGAATACAGTAACCACACGACAACTGTACGATACAAAATGACAATGCCAATATTGTGCATTATTTTGCTATCACATATCACTACTGTCAAAAATGTCACCCAACAAAGTTGATCATAGGACAATGTTTGCCCAAATGTCATCAAATTATCAACGTTTTGGTTTACTTGCTGTTTGACCCCAAAAACTTCCTTGAACTTATAATATATGTACTCCACTACAATAAGTCGTTAGGTAGACAATTTCTACAAATCAATACTGGCGAATATTTCTAGAGATGCCTTTTGACTTTTATTTTAAAATCCGAGTAAGTGAAGTAACTGCTAATTACAACACAATATTATCAAAGCTAACACATTATTACTTAGGACTTTGTTACCATCACATTGCACCTCACGTAGCAGGGGCACCATATGTGTGTCAGCGCGGCCGCTTTCGGGGTTTTTTTTTGATGACGGGAATGTATGTGTGCAGGACTTGTCCAGTTTCTTGGTCTCAGAAAAAACAGATCAGCAGAAATTGGAAGTGTGAAGAAAGAGAGCAAAGTCTTAGTGGCACCAGGTCTGTAATTAAGTCAACCAAAAATGTGTTCATCTCCATTTAAGTGGGAAATTACGGTACAAAACTAGGTCCCAGTTACTATTGGGTACTTCAACTTCAAGTACTTGAAGAAATAGCTCCAACAAATGAGTGAAAAAAACTGATATAATATAAGAAGTATTTCAACCACAGCATTCTCGTGATTTGTATATTTAGTTTTGCAAACTCCAAGCCCAACAAATTCTTTTTTTAAAATGTGTATACACACCAGTTTCAGTTAAATTGTCAACATTTCCACAAAAGTCTTGTCAAAAGCTTTCAAATTCAACTTTTGCCTTGTATCAGTCTGTAGGCCTACTATTTATACACAATGTTTCAAGAAAGAACCAATAAGCTCAGAGAACTTAGAAAAAAAAAAAGCACACCATTCCACAAACCCATGCTTGTCCTAGTTAGATCTAAATTATTACAATTACATAGATCTGCATCATAGAAAAGAATATTTAGGAAACATGTTTGGTTTGTTGGATCCCTGCGCTTTAACTTTTCTTTTTAAACTTTTTGTGCACCTACCGAAATCAGCAAGAGTTCTGAACCCAAATCACAGCTTACAGTTGGGCGCATAGCAGCAGTCAGGCAGTCGACTTTGTGTTCTTAACTGGTAGAAGAGCTCATCACTCTATAGCAGCTACATTTCAATCATTGTGTAGGCCTACGTTATCAAAAGAGAGCGCCAGTCAAAGGACAAGAGAAAAACTGCAGGAGTACAAGTCCGCTTCAGTGCAGTATCTGAAAGACAGTCATGGAACAGGGACACGTAGCAATATACTAATGGTCAACAATACCAGTAACCTCTGTAGAGGTCCCTCGTACAGTTAATATTTTGAAATTAAATGACCTTATCTTCCTTTAACGTTATGACCTATAGAGTGGACTATATTGTGGCATTTAAATCAAAATAAAATCTGCCTAGTTATCAAAGAAAAACAATTTTTTTGAGACTTTCATTCCATGAACAACTGCAGTAATGATCATGAAAGCTTATTCACTAGAAGCCTAAAAACATAAACAATTTCAAGCTTACAATTTCATCAAGCAGTGAGCTGTGATGATAGTTATGGTTTGAAGCCAACTCTCGAAAACTAATCAAGACTTTTTTACTGCTTGTTTTTAACACTAAAGATTAAAGTTTCTGTCCATGTCCAAAAACACAAACTCCATTTGATACGTTTCAAAGCATCATGTGTCAGACCTTTTGAAATGGAGAGAAGTACGGTGAAGAACGCCGAAACCAAGAAGAAACACCAGCAACTGCCTCATGTTGCAAACTTGGCCACACAGTTTGTGACTCCCAGTCGGTACCTTGCAGCAGCACAGTCACTACCGTACACTTCTGTGAGTGTGAGACTTAAGGTGTCCTTTCACCAAGGAAGAAAACGATCATGAACTTCATATCATGTCACATTATGAACATATGGTGAATCCCATGAAACCATAACCCTGTTCTGCAGAACATTCGTTAAAAATTGCACGGTTCAACAATTGGTTTGCCCTTGCAAACATTGTATCAATTAAATCATCATCTAGGAATCAGCACGAGGCATTCTACTGTATAATTCCTCAAACAGTTTACAAATTTTACAAGTTAAAGAGTAAGTTTATAAATTTCACAGAATATGTGATGGTACTTCGACAAAATGATTTAGAGCCAACTTAATTTTGAGAACAGGTACATGTTGTGGCAGCTGACAGTAGGATGCACTGGCAGTCTAAAACTAATTACTGTTAAATTGCGCTCAATTTTTCATATTTTACTAAATTTTTCAGTCTACTCTGACTCTATCATATGGTAGGCTACTCTATGGAAGTACGACACCCATTTGGGATCTGATTCCTCCCAACAACGTGGGCATAAATTTTCTGTGCCACGTTCAATATAAAATGGATCAGCAAGCAACAACTACACCAGACTTAATGACTTAATGACGACATCCACATAACAAACCCAACAACCTTATAGAGTTGCTGCAGCGGCAGATCCAAGGACAAAAAGAGTTCGAGGAATGAGAATTCAGAGGTTCGAAGACGACAAGATGTCAGTGATTCCTGTAATAAAGATATATATAGATATATATATATCTATCTATTTAAGCAAACATCCAAAACAGAGAACAACCTAAAATAACAGACAGGCAAAGCAAAAAAAGAATAACATGACATCGAGT